ATAGGGTAGAGTAGATTTTTGTGTGGCTTAGTGTTTTATGTAGTGTATGAACGTCGAGTAAATGTCTTGTTACTATGTAAAGTTTGTCATTTCCTGTACAGTGCAGTTTATTACATCCGAATGACTGAGGCGCATCGAGATATAGACAAATAGGCTTCGATTGGAAAACCGGGAAATAAACGATAAAATAGGTAGATTAAACAAGTCCTCATCGTAATTCATAGATGGCGCCGGTATAAATGCAATTAGGGACTAACTGCAACAGAAAATACCAAAAAGAAATTTAAAACAGATACTCACGGTCCTTATCGTCGTTATCGAAGGAAAAAATGGGGAATGTTGTTGAATTGTCATCATATATCGATTAAAGATGATCCATGTACAGTGGATTATGTACTGCACGAACTTAAACCGGATTTTCATTAAGAAATAATTTTTTTTTAATAGGAAAAAGGGATATGATGTATGGTGTACAATTCGCGAAAGAAAGAACTGAACAGGAAGATTTAAGCCGACAAGAAGAAGCATGGAGAGAACTGTGTGACAAGTTGGATGAGGACGTATGCGGTCACGGATACAAAATCCGCAGTTGGTCACCAAAGCTGAACAAGCTGTACTTTTTACACGAGAGACTAAAGGGGTGGATGGGATACCACCACAAGCGATAAAATGCATTGGACTCGGTGTGGCTCTTGAAACACATGAATGCGCTGCTTGAATCACAGCGATTTCCAATTTCCAGGAAATTGGAAAATCTCAAGGCTCGTGCTACTTACAAAGAAGAAAGACAAGAATCTACCTGTTTGTCTTCTATCGCGCATGGGTAAATTATAAGAGAGGCTTTTAAGAGAGCGAATTTACACAGTCATTGAAGAGTCAGAGGAGCTGTCACCCAAGTAATAAAATTTCAGAAAGAACAGGAGCAATGATGATGCGGTGATGGAAGTCTTCCAGGAGTTGCGCAAAGTAGGGGTGGACCAGAACTGGAAGATCCCACTGGGAAGACCCAGAAAATGAGAACTAAATGGAGCAAAACTACAAAACCGGCGAAAACGAAAACCTAGACGAAGACAACATTGACCTCAGCAAAGAAACTAATTCTGACACCGATTGTGATTATGATTTATATTACTTAAGAATGAACTACTGTACTGTAAATGGTTTAAGACGTCAGCTGCATCAAGAAAAAATGAAAAAAACTGGTACTGACATTATTATGCATTTGCCAAGTGTTCTAGGGGAGTTTAATAAAACGAAAACTCCTGGATATGCTACAATAAATTCTTCTTAAAACTAATAAAAAAAATGGGGAAAACAGCATCAGCATTAATTTGGTCTGCTATATTTGGCGGATTCTCTCGTTCAGGAAGATTAAACTTAGATGATCTTAGTACTACACATGATAGAGGTATAATGTAATTTATAACAGCGAACGTAAAGAATAAAAATAATCTTCCAGTGCATCAAGTGCATATCTGACTCTGGGGTCACATATACCCTACCACGGGTTAGATATCGCTCCATTTTATGTGTGTGTACGTGTGTCGTATAGAAATTGTCGCCAAAGAAGTTTCGCTAAAATCATAATGTCTGAGATTTTCTAGCAAGTCTAATTTAACCTTTAATTCCTCTTATTTATCACCAATTACTAATTTATATTTTGATATATTTTCAATAACAAAACCCCACTAACAAAATAGTACCCCGAAAAAACTTCACTGGTTATTTTAACAAATAAATTAAGTCTGAAAATATTTAAATATATTTAAGATTCGGTTCCATTTTTCATAAATTAGATAAAACTGTTAAATGAACAGAAATAAAGTTCTCACAAAACTGAAAACGTGGAAAAATTCTTACAATTCGTTGTGAATCACAATCAAATTCACATTTTAATGTAAACAAAATATCACATTATTAACTTTTTTTAAACGAAAATAAAAATATACATTAATTCGGTACCAAACATAACCCATAAATTTCTCCTCCAACTAAGCCGCTTGCTAGCTTTTGTCAGATCCCATGGACGTATAAACATAGATGGACACAGCAATAAGATACCTTTAACACACAATGTTTTGAAGCTTCGATAGAATGTGATGCTTCCGCAATGAGCATTAGCGTGCTTGAATTTTTATTCGCGGGTAATTATTCAGATTTTAAAAATTGGAAGTAGTAATAATGTATAAAAACACGTTCAAAGAATTTAAAAAAAAAACGAGAGTTTAACTATTAACAAATCACGTCTTTATAAAAAAATTAAAATACAATTTTATTTGCTTTAAAATTAATACAATTAAATATAGTTGAATGCAAGTTAATTTTTTAATAGGTATCAAAATAATGCTACAATAAAAAATCTTTATGTTTTCTCCTTAATTTGCTACCCAAATAGTTCGATCGTCAATATTATTTGGAAACCTACATAGATAAATAAATGAGTTTTATTCATTTCACTAATTTATTTGTATCCATGAGAAATATTAAATTAAAAAGGTACTAAACAGATCTTTTTTAATCAGATGATGTCTACTTACAATTTATAAATTTCTACTAATTTCATGAACTCATATTTTATTCAATACATTAATGAACATGAATAAACCCAATGGTACGCCTATTAAAATGTAAACAAACACGCTTCCCTCATTTCCTCATCTTAAATAATGTAAATTGTATGTACTTACAAATGAAATGAGAGATCGGGATGTAAATATTTCGTTTATTTTATTTCACTTTTCACAAATATCACTCAAAATACAGCCAAAATATCGAAAAACAACTTTTTCCCATCTATTGTAAAAAGTAAACAAACATGGAACAGCATTTGAAGTTTGACGTAGATCCATAAGACAGAGAAATGTAAACAACAGTTGCGATTTATAAATAGTTTTCAGTGCTTCTACTTATAAAATAATTGATTGATATCTATTATACGCTATTATTAAATGATAATGCACACTATGTGCATACTTGATATTTTGATTACAATTAAATATATTAATCTAACCAATAAATTATTATCTTGGTTTGATAACACATGTAGTGTATAAAATACGGAGTAATATTTTCAGCAACTCGCGAATAAGAAATTTTGAAACAAAACGTGACAACAGTTAAAGGTGCTGAGAATATGACCTATTCAAATAATTTTGACTACACAATTTTATGTAAATAACTGAGTCCATCTCTGTTTATACGTCCATGTCAGATCCAGACAATTGTCTCGACAAAAAAGTTTTACAATTAAATTTCCTATAAGACAAAATTGATTGTAGATTAAAAAAAAACAATAATTACTATTGCAAAATCAGCAAAAACAATTTTAAAAAGGATGAAAAGTAAATGTTTTTTCAGGTTTTTAAGAGCCACATAGAACTTTCAAAATTCACCCAGAAAAACCTTAAAATATAAACACTATACAAAATTTTAGGACAATCGATCAAGTAGTCTCTGTAAAATGATTTTATTAATGACCGTTATTAATTTCGTGATATTTCTTGGATATGTTTTCTAAGTACCTATCAGGTAGGAATAAATAAGTTTGTATTCTTGATAAGAACTGGGAGATAAATGGAGATCATAGAAATGGGTTCTTACAAGGAGATTCGGATTATACAGTAAAGCCGTTTTTAAGAAGTCCACTAAACAATCCAATGTCTATAATCAATTTCATATTAGAACCAGATAAGCAACATAACTTTTGATGTATGGAAGAGAAAGATTAGGTACTATTTCATCCAGTGGAAGTGGCAGAAAGGTTGAAAAGATTCAATCATTCTTATCTACAGCAACATTCTACGAGTATAACCTGCGAGAGATCAAAATTAAGACAATTTTGAAGATGAATTGCTAAATAAAATTTGAGTATATTTAGCCTTATATGTATAATAATTTAGTGTTATGGAAAAACCTAAGAAGAATCATTAAACATGTATAATTTTTTTATTATATAATAAATATTGGTGTGTTCCGAAATAAATTTTACATTTATCTTCCAGATAAGTAACCGCAACATAATTTGACGTAAAAAGACGGTTACATTTTATTTTATAAATAAAATAATTATGATTTTTTCAATTTGCAATCAATTTTGTCTTATAGGAAATTTATTTGTAAACCTTTTTGTCGTAACAATTTTTTTCTAAAATATATAGCTACCGAGATATAGCAAAGAAACGGAGGAAAAATATTGAATTTTTCTCATTTTTTTTCTCAAATTGTTTAATAAAAAATTTGGCCCATCTTTTGAAGTGTGCACATAGTTAAATTAACATTCCTAATAATATTTCAAAGTCGACAAAATCAACAAATCATCGACATTTCGTGAAATGTTGATTTAGTATTAATTTTTCATTTAACATTTATAATATAATGGAAAGATTTTATGAATTGAAAGTGGCTTTTTGCAAATGCTCAAGCAAGCAATCATACCACATGTTTTTCTTAGGTTAAAGTCAAAATATTATCCCTTTTGTTTATTAAAATAATGTGGGATTACTTACTTTCAGGTTTCACTGATAATGGTCTGATAGCCCCGAAAACATTTTAAAAATTGTAATCCTGTTGGATATTTTCACTATTTTAGTAATTTTACAAATACACCTATTGCATTGGAAGTTTTTTACTTCCTTGTAAGGTTTTTTAAACTATAATATATAGTCAACCATTGGGAATTCTCCCTATACAAGTCTTTTCTGTAGGTTTCATGTACAGTTCATTCTTCTTTTTCGTTAGATGTTGACTAAATATGAAATATTCTCGAGCTGGTAATTAATATAGAGAGCAGAGAATAATAAAAGACAAGGGAAAAGAAATAATGCGTTCAATGTATGCTAGCTTCAGCTGTATATATTATTAAATAATTAATGCAACTCTAAAGTAATCAATTATCAATTCAATAAATATCTGGAGATTCAGCAAATAAAACAATAGCTACATAAACAAATAAAAATCAATATCACTTTGTTTAAATTAGTATTTACATCATTCGGCAATGGTCAAAGTTTAAATGATAAGACTTATACTAAGCTCAAATTTATCTACTACTTTATTAAATTAAGTGGAACCGAATCTTCAAAACACCAAAAACAAAACAAATTAGCAAAACATGTAGAAAAAAATTATCAAAAGAAATAGAAATGTAAGCAACATCTAGTCAGATCCATTATTACCTCGTTTTTCTCAAGTCTTTCCCTCTTGTGCTTGGGAAGAGGAACTTTCTTCTTGGCCCCTCCGCCGATAGTGTCCCTGAGGAACGTCGGAACCGAACTCAAGATGAGTTGTGGCAGGCTTAATTCCTCGTAAGGTTCCGGAGAACCAGATCTTGTTGACATTGGACTACTATCAGGGCTGTTGTGTGGGGTCGCAGTTGGCGTAAAACTGTTGGGACCGCTCGGAGTCGGCACGCATGATGGGGTTATTGCTTTTATACCTGAAATGGGGAAACATTTTTTTAAATGAGACTTGTCTGAATCATATTGTTGACTGTTAACTTAAACTAACTAAGTATACAGTGTGTCTGCATAACTTAATCTAACTTTTTTGTTATTAGCTTTACGAAAAAAAAGATATTCTTAACCTTGTTTCTACTGTGTATTTTTATGTATGAGAGAGTAATAAAACAATAAATTATGTATGCAAATCCCTAAACTGTTGATACGGGTGACTCAATGAAAAACAGATATTTGTCAACAAGTTTACAGAAGTATATAGGAAAACAATTTTAAATTGAGTATGACCACCAGGTATAAAGGTTGGAGCAGAATAGAATACAATAGTTGTGAGGGTTACTAATCCCTAAATAAGGTTGCCAGTGTCGGAGTGATGGAGGTTCTAAACTTATTCCACAGAAAATGTGATAGTGGGTTTTTCCATTTTGTAGGAAGGTCCAAGTGGCGTATTTAAAATTCTTAACAGTTCACTAAAAGTAGGTACTTCAGTTGCAAGGTGCAGTTTATTGTGTATACTAGTGTTATGGAAAATTTGGAAGTGCCGTGTAAACGCCGAAAAATTGGTCCTTTAACAGTTAATGAAAAAACATTAATATTTAATTGTTTTAAATCATTTACAGACAAACGTTTATGTGAAAGTGTTGATGAGACCGTTGAGTTAGTTAGCAGTACACTTGGTGTTGGGAAATCTACGATTTACAGAGTTATTAAAAAAGAGAAATGTGGTAGTTTTCAAATGCCACGTAATGCTCCAGGGAAACCAAAATTTCAAATAGAATATCATTTTAAAGAAGGACTTCGACGGAAAGTGCACGAATTCTTCTTTAGACAAGAATTTCCAACATTGGATAAAGTTCTTGTCTCAGTTCGAGATGATAAGGATTACCCAGAAATGAGTCGAAGTACGTTATGGAAACTTTTAAAAGAAATAGGCTTCCGCTGGAAAAAGAAGCCCAGAAAGTCTATTTTATTAGAAAGAAGCGATATTGTCATATGGAGAAGACATTTTCTAAGAACCATAAAGGAAATGAGAAACCAAAAAAGAAAAATATTTTATCTTGATGAAACATGGATCAACGAGGGTCATACACCAAATAAATTTTGGCAGGATGAAACTATTACAAGTCAAAGGCACGCTTTTGTAAATAACTTATCTACTGGTTTAAACCCACCATCAGGAAAGGGACGCAGGCTGATAACAGTACACATTGGCAGTTCAGACGGTTTTGTTGAAGGTGGTTTATTAACTTTTGAATCAACTCGTACCGGTGACTACCATGAAGACATGAACGCTGATGTCTTTCAAGAATGGTTCGAACAAATGATAGATCTTCTTCCTAAGAACTGTGTAATAGTAATGGATAATGCAAGTTATCACTCCAGACTTATAGAAGGACTGCCCACAACCAAGTGGTTAAAAAAAGACTTGCAGAATTGGCTGAGTTCAAAAAATATTACGTGCCATCCCGGATCTATAAGAAAAGGAACTTTATTCGTTGTGTGCCCTTCATAAAGAAAAATTTAAAAAATACGAAATTGATGAAATTGCCAAAAATCGTGGAATGACAGTACTTAGATCCCCACCATAACATTGTTTTTGGAGGCCGTAAATAATGTAAAACCTGAAAACTGGAAAAAGGCAGTAAATCACACTATTAAAGAAGAGGAAATAATGTGGAAGCTGGACAATATTACTCATAAAATGATCGAGCCAGTTATTATAAATCTTGGTTCTGAAAGTTCATCTTCTGAATCTGATTTGGATTTGTAACAAGTAGCTGTAAGTTTTATATTATTATTTTTATTCATCTATTTAACATACCTTAGACGGTTTTAAAAACTCTTTTTCTCTTTTGTAATTTTTAAAAATTAAAAAAAATGTGAATTTTTTAAAACCCTTTTTAATGTAGGCCAGTCAGTTCTAATATAGTGTGTGATAAAAGAGGTCACTTTTGTTTACATACACATAACACTTTATAACACTGAAATAATTCATTTATTTTTTACAATTATTCAAAGTAATTTTTCAATTAATCTTAAGCACGCCCATGGAGTGGTCGAAGGTACCAGTTAAAATTATGCTAATTACTCTCTCATTCATAAAAATAAACTATAATTTTGGAATTAAATATTCAATTCATCTAAATCTTGGTTTACAAAAGAAAATCAGAGCGCAATAGTTTGACAGAAGTTATTTTGTGCGAAGCTCGTGAACTTATTAATAATGGCGTTTCTATACGTCAGGCAGCAAAAACTCTGGAATTTCATGAAGCGAGACTACGGCAAAGGTTTAAAAAAGGAATGATGTCCAGTCTTTAGGAAGATGTATAATAGTTCTAATCAACATCCAATTGCAACTCGACAAACGATTTTATGGAATGACGCTGAAGTCATTGCGTTTTTAAATTTACTCTTATTGTGTAAGAAACCGTATTGACCATCCATTTCCACCCGTCAATCAGTTGACTGGTCTGAACTTCGCTAGATCTTTCATGAAAAGGAACTGAATATCTTTACGACATCCACGAAAATCAACTATTGCTAGAACTATGGGCTTCAATAGAGTGCAACTAGCTCACTATTTTGAAATTTTGGAGAACACTATAAAAAAATATGTTACCTCCCAACCGTATCTATAACGTCGATGAAACTGGCATTCAGAAAGTTCCAAACCAACTGCCCAAACATGTTGCTTCAATTAGAAAGAGAGATGTAGCAAAAGCTGTAGCTGCCGAGCAAGGACAAACAATTACGTTTGCTGTATGAGTGCAATTGGTCACCATGTCCCTCCATTTTTTTTATTTGCTTGAAAACAAATCAAGCCCACTGCCTGCGACATGGCTGTAACTGATAATGTTTAGTTTACATGAACACTCCCACGGTTATCAAGTATCTGGAGCATTTTAAAAAAAACCATACAAATCCAATAGAGGAGAACACCGTTCTTATGATTCTAGATAATCATGTATCGCACATAACTCTTCAAGCAGTAACATTTGCAAAAGATAATTTTATCCATTTACTAAGTCTGCCACCACATAGCAGCCATAAGACCCAGCCACTCGATCAGGTATTTTTCAGACCATTAAAAGCTATCCCATCCAGGACAGGTTCTCTCCATTTACCACGTGGCTGGTCTCTTTTCCACAGCATTTGCAAAAACTGCTACTGTAGATATAGCAAGAGATGGGTTTCGACCTACAGGAATCTATCCACTAGATAAAAATATTTTTTCGGACGTAGATTTTATGCCAGCGGAAGTAACAGCAATATTTAGGTGAAGATTCAGACGATGAAGGTAATGTTTTTATCCAGTTTCAGCGATAAGAAGAACTTGTTACTGATGCGATAGAGCCCCAGCCGTCATCAAAATCAAAACAATCAGTAATTTCACCTTCAGACATTACTCCCTTCCCAAAAATTAAGATAAAAAGGAAACGAACCAAAAGTTTGAACCCTACTAACATCGACACCTAATAAGGAGCGATTTTTAGAAGAACAAGAAGAAAAGAAGGAAGCAGAAAAACAGAAGGAGAGGAAAACATTACTGAAGAATCAAACGATCAAATCTCAAGGTGCTAAATAAAGTTTGTGGACAGACACACTAAGAATCACACTCTAAGACACACCGACACACTCTAAGACGACAGGGAATAAGGAAACTGCGTCTTTTTGCTCTGAACTACCCTACTATTATTCCTTTTTGTACACAGTCGTCATTAAATATTGAACGATTACCATTTTGAAGTCACTACAGGATCACAAAAACACATTGGAAAGTAATCATTGATACAAGAGTTTTCGTGAGGTATTATTTGTCATATAATAATGTCAATAATTTTGCAAACTAAGTGATTATATCACTGAAAGCAACGTATCAGTACATCAGTTCAACTAATCAATTTATTGATTAAATATTATACTGTATCAGCTGAAATAATGAAGGATATAAAACAAACGAACCTCTTTCATTCAACATCTTCGCTAGTCCCAGAGTGGTGGAGAATGTGCTACAAGAATTGCGCCTACTCGAAGCCATCGGTGTTTGTGGAGGCGAAGGCTGGACGCTGGAACATATTGAAGCCATCCTGCTGCCTCTCTGGCTGTGCGTCACCGACGTAGTACCATCATCGGGATGCATTATGGTGCTATTAGTATAGGTGTATGTGTGCATTGACGTATCGAAGAGTTTACCGGGATTGGAGTATTCCTCATCTTCTTCTAAATCACTGAGGGCGTACGATTCTAGGCCGAGTTCTTCTAATTCTTTTCCTCCTCTAAAAATAAACATATATAAGTAGATATAGACACTATTTTTTCGTTTGATTTTGTGTTACCTTATTTTAACACCGGGTCTTTCGTCTAAAATACCACCGAAGGTTGGTTGAGCTAGCTGCGACCACTGGTGTAGCGTCTTTGAACCTTCCATTGGCTTAACGATCTGAAGTTTCTCAGGTAACTTCCAACCAAGGTAATTACAGGAGCCCGTTGACATTAAACTGTCGGGTGTTCGACAACCGAAGGGAAGGTACGAATCGCCTTCATAACTGAAAATAAAAAAATATTTTAATCAAGAGCTAAAATTAACAAATATGAAATTACAATATAAACTAATATAGTTCTATAAAATAATTTACCCTCCATATGTAGGTCCATGTTGAAGATTTGCTCTTCGCGCCAGAATCTCTCCAGGCGTTAATCTCTTCAATGCAGCCTCCAGCTCTGTAGCACCAGGTACTCCGGGAATGCCCTTCTGGGGGCCGCCTCTATGTAAAACAAAGATTTCTTTTATAGCACAGAAATATACATGGCTGTTAGACAAAGCCAAGCAATTATACGTGCAGTTGGTTAGTGCGTTAGTTGCCACATTTTTTGACAGTTAGTAGCTGAAAAATATGTTACAGCAAGTGTGATAATATGAGAAAGAAAAATCAAAATACAGGTACGTGTAGTAAAAGCAAGAGCATGCAGCGTATGATATGATCTAGAGAATAGCATGAAGATATTAATAAATATCAGAAAAACAGAATAAATTCAACAATTAGAAACAGAGAAACAAAGAAAAGAAATATAAGGAAAGACTAAAAATAAAACTAATCCTTGAGAATACTAAGACACAGTGCCCACTGTAATATCCTCCTAAGTCCATATGTTGAGTCAGCTGGGCAATGTTTACTAATTTATTACACTATATTGCAACATACTGGACTTTCTATTTATCAGTGAAATTTACTCGTTTGAAAAATTTCTTTGAACTTTTTGTCAAGCATTTTGGACATTGGGACTTAGTTAGAAAAATATGTTACAATTCTCACGTTTTTTAACGTTTATTTACAGACAGAAAAAGGATATTGACAGAACGCGAATTGGAGGCTATTTTGTCAGATAGCGGTTTTTTCCTCAGTGAAGGTAGCGATAATGACTGTAGTGAAAACCTATAGCGATAATGATTGTAGTGAAAACGAGAATGTTTCTGAAAACCCCTCAACTGTTTTTCATGAAACGAAACGAAACTAATGCCCAAAATCATTTAGAAAATGATTCAGATTCGGAGTGGGATTCTGACGATGATACTCCTTTACTGCAGCGTTGGGAGAAACTCAACTAATGAAGATCAAGAATTCTGTACACCATTTGAGTATTTTTCTGAGTATTTTCCTGAGCATTTTTGGGAAAATTTGTCTTCAGCAAGTAACATAGGAGCTATGTAAGCAAACGAAAAGAACAATCTAAGGTCAACTCCGGAGGAATTCAAGAAACTAACAGATATTCATATTTTGATGGGAATTTTCGGACTAGCGCGCTTTCGCCTCTATTTCATGAAAGGAATTGAAATTCCTATTTTTACTCAGCTTCTAGTAGAATAGAATCTACAAGTTAAGAAATTTTTTACATGTTGTAGATAACTGTGCAGTTTCAGAGGGCACCAAAAAGGCAAATAAACTTTAGATCAGCCTATCCTTGATGTTGTACGAAATAAATGTATCACTCTTCAAAGATCTCGCGAGTTGTCTATCGACGAACAAATGATTCCATTCACTCTCACCACTAGTCTACAACAGTATGTCAAGAACAAACCTAATCCTGTAGGTTTGAAGAATTTTGTGCTTACTTCAGGGCTAGTCTTGGATTTCTTTATTTATCAAGGTGCAAACACTTGGCCTGATGCTGCTCCTGACATATCCTTGGGCATTGGGAACGATTTATTATTATTAATATTTCTTTCGCCGAAAACTTCCTTGGCCGAGGTTAAAATTTTAAATTTAATTTTTGCCCGGCTTTCTTCGACTCCATCACTTTCTGTGATATATGTGTTTCTGCTTTTTTCGGTTATTCTTAATGTTTTATTATCACATATATGTGTTTTCATTCGGATTTTGCACAATACCAATTTATGATCGCTTTTTATTTCTGCTGATGTTATTGCTCTTATATCCACTATTTGAAAGGAGTGTAACTATCTATTCAATGGATTATAAAGCAACAAAATAAGAGTAAGTCAGCCCAAGCAGATACAGTCGTCTCCATCATTTGCTTTACTCTCTGTCAGGTAATCAATTAATCCTAAACTCCCTAAATTTCCCGAAATTTATCCTATTCATAAATTTTCTAGCCAATGCAAATCTCTGTACGTTAGTTACAGAGACGCCACCTACATTAGAGGCCCTCAACTAGTGCCTACTGAGATTTTGGAATTAAATATATTAATCCTAACAAATTGGAATAAAAAAAACAACCAACAATGAATTTTTCTTGTAAATAAAACATCGAAAATAAAGAATTTAACTAAAAAGAGAACAAAACACTTGGCATTTACTTTTTAAAACAAGTATGCCAACACAGCCAACTATTATTTCGTTTTCGATAGCAGTGCCATTTACACATTAACTATACAGAGTATTTCCCCTCGCTCTCGTGTGTAAAATGTTTACTATTTTTTATCCTGAAGAAAAAAACTGTTAACTAAGTAGTAGCTTACTGTAAAGAAGAAGGCAGAACAAGCAAACAGTGATAAATGTGATATGTAAATATTTAAATTAAAAATCAGCATAAAAGCTACTTACGGATATCCTTCTTCCGAGTCTGTATGACTAGAATCCGTATCGGAATATCCCGTGGAATCTATACTAGGATAGCCTAAAGAACTGCTGCTATATATAGAACCAGAAGATCGTCTTAGATCCGCACCAGTTTGCATCCTCGACGACGTCCGAGGTCTAGAGTTAGCACCAGTACTGCTGACATAACCGCCCATGCCAGAATGGAAGCTACCGAGGCTGTCACTGCCGCTTAACGAGTTTTGTGAGGCACAACGTACTGTTTCGAAGACTTTCTTATATTGAGGCCTGAAGATAGAAAATTTGTTTAAAATGTTCGGTCTAATTTTATATAATCTATACTTACATCAGATCGGTACTGGATATTCCGGAATCAGTACTGGGTTCAGAATGCATCGACATAGACAGTTCGCTCTGTAAACTGTCAAATGGTCCGAGGGCGGTCTGTCCGAGAGAGGAAAACATGTTAATTCTGGCACCGGGCGTTTGTTTCTTTCTGAGCTTGCGCAGTTGCTCTTGCGCATCGCGGAACAACGCTTCAACTTCATAGTAGCGCGCTTTGAATTCTGACAGTTCTACCGCCAAGCTACCTTGATTTTCTTTGGTGATTTGTAAAAGGCCGTTGGCTTCTTCGTTTTCAGCTAATACCTAAAGGACAAGAAAAGCACTATAAAATTAATTGTCTAAAAACAACGTACGAGACAAATCAAAGAAAAAATATGTGAGCTTAGTTTAATATTGAAATACAATCTCTAAAATAATTACGTGACTATTTTTGGAATCACTTAATTTATTATGTTCTGGGTGAAAACCCAGATGGGTTTTTAAAACTGGGTGATTTCTGACATTTCGTCAGCAAAAACGATCAGTTTCAGTTACAGAGTGGCGGTCTTAGGCGAAGAATCCTCTGGTATCAATTCATGTATGGATGGATGTGTGCTTGATTTTATAGATAATCTTAAGCAAGACTATCTGTACATTACAAATAAAACAAAATTTGTTTATGTACTCAAGCAGCCTCTTGAGTGAACTGGAAGATTATCTGGAAAATTATATAGTTATAATGGGATTTCCAAGTCAACCTGCCAATGGTAAGGTTTTCGAGGCGGAGGGATGCACATGGGCGCACGCACTAGTCTGCCACAACGTCATTTTGATATATTTTTTGAATATACTAAATTTCATCAATGATTTTTTGTTATACAAATGTATAGTTGTGTACACTTATTTATCCTAATTATGAACTTCATTTATATACCAGTATTATTGTTTGTCTGTTAAAAATGTCTTGATGGATCCCTAGACGAGAAACGAGTGATATTATACATTTCTTTAAGTATTTCATCTATTAATTATTATTATTCATTCACACTTATTCCAATCGCCTCTTGAATTGAATCATTCAGCTGGAAACTGATCCAAAATAATCAAATTGTAGCAAATTATTTTAGTAGTTGAGTATTTTAATTGTTGAATTATCGTACAATTTTCTGTGACTCTTCAGGAAAATAGCCAAAATCAGATTAATTTCTTAAAGCTATAGTGTTCGATTGAACATTCAATTATAGTGTTTAAACCTTACCTTCTGTAATTTGCCTTCAGTATCTTGTAGTTGAGATTGCAGTGCCAAAATTTGCTCGTGCTGGAGTCTGCTTTCTTCTTTTAATCTATCCAATTCGTCCTCCAAGTAAGTCATACTTGAATTGGCACAAGCTGTAACACAAAATGTAGCTATGAAAAGATAGAACGCTTAAAAAATAATTTGGATAGTGAAAAAAGTGATGGTTGAAAATTGTCACAAAAAATGATAAAACTAAGAAAGAAATTGCTAAGGAAACGTATATGTGAGCTGAGGCACGTCCAATGCTGCAATGATAATCACCCAATGCAAAGAATTTCTTCTTCTCCTTAACGTGCCCCATCCATAAGGACATTGGCGATCATCATGGCCCAATTGACTCTATCTGCAGCCGTTATGAAAAGTTCTATCGACGTTTTCCCACTCCATTGTCTCAGATACTTCAGCCAGGACTTTCTTTTCTTTTTATAGTGTTGAGTATTTCATCTATATTCATTATTTTTGCCATTCTTCGCTGTTGTACTTCGTCGAAAGCTTTTTCCAAGTCGACTAGACATATGAATACGTCATATGTATTCATATCGAATATCAAATAGTTGCTTACTTACTTACTCCGTGGCGTTACAACCCTTCGTGGGTTTTAGCCGACTCGACAACATGCCTCCACTGTTTTCTGTCTTGAGCAACCTCCATCCAATTCTCCACGCCCATAGTGCTTAGGTCTCCTGCTATATTATCTCGGCACCGGAGACGAGGGCGTCCGCGTGGTCTCCTTCCAGTTGGATATATATATATATATATATATATATATATATATATATATATATATATATATATATATATATATATATATATATCCAACTGGAAGGAGACCACGCGGACGCCCTATAATATATATATATATATATATATATATATATTATATATATATATATATATATATATATATATATCCGGTTTTTTAGGCATTACGCCCGTCCGGTAGGGATCTATGGAGGAGTATCACCGAGCCGCAAGCCCTTATCTCTTGCCGTACTGCTCCACCATAGGCCGATCAGAACCCAGCATATCCTAGTCTAAGCCGCAGATTCATCTAGAATTTTAAACTGCTGCGTTAGACTTTTTGTTTTCTGTACACCGAGCTGGGGCTCGACCCACATCCACTAAACCATCCACAATATCAAATCCACAATATCAAATAGTGTTGTACAGTAAATAATGCTTCTTTGGTGCCAAAGACTTTTCTGAATCCCAATTGGTTTTAAGCTATTCTATCATCTAGCTTTTTATAGATACGTTTGTGTATCACTCGTAAGAACACTTTTAGAATATGGTTCATCAAGCTAATTGTCCTGTGCTCTTCACATTTCATTGCGTTTGATTTTTTGGTTATTGGAATGAATATTGATATAGACGTTTTCATCTTTCTTGGCGTGTGCGTGTAAAAACACTTGCAATAAGTTGTTTCATCTGTCTTTCCTTGTCTAAGCTCGATTCGTTTACCTCCTCCAGTGGCAGCTATCTGTATTCGTAAAGAGGCCGAACTTATCACCGACACCGTATCGGAAAAACGCATCGGTGTTATTGCTACAATACTGGGAGACGTGAGCGGTCTCTTCAATCCCATCTCATCGCACTTTACCATGACAAACGTGACTCGCACAATTGAATTACGCATCTGTGTATCAGAGAGAGACGAATATTAAAAATTCCGTAGTAGCTTATTTCAGGCACACGCCAAGAACGATAAAACCGAGTTTATTAATTATTCTTTCGTAATCTCTCCCGTATAATAAATGTCATTAAATAATTTTATTCTATTAGTGTGTCCATATGATTTTTGTTAATATTCTTAAGATTTCCGTAGGTATTTCATCTGGTCCCATGGCCTTCTCAGTTTTTATACGTTTTAGCGCTTTCTCAAGTTCGTCTTTGGTGATTGGTGGCCCATTTCTTTCTCTTGGTTCAATGACCAAAATTTTCTTGTCGTCTTCGAAAGAATTTCTGCTGCTGGGAAATTCCAGGAAGGGCTAGGAGAGAAAAACCAAAGAAGACATGCGATGATAACACGAGACATAGCTGTTGAGGAGTTAATATTCATATGAACCAATCTAGAAAGTTTCAGGGAAATATAATTAGGGAAACAACATAAGGGGGTAAGGCCAAAGGCAATAATGAACTAGTTATATTTAAATATCGATGTGAACATTTCGTTATTTTGTTGCAAATCTTACAAGTTACAAAATACTACCATAGGACACTGGCAGTTTAAATAATGGTAACTGTGTCATTCTCAGACTATACGGGATGAGGATGTTCTAAAATGGGTAGGACTCAGCGCAAGAGGCGATCAGTTACTTCTTATCTCCGACACTGTGTGTCGCAATGGCTATCAGGGAATGTCCTCTGGATATATACGCAGATGTGAATAAGGTATAATAAAATAAAAACCCTCGGATCAACTGAGATCATGACAATAATAGTAGATTAAACATGACACACACTTAGACATAAGCTCAGCAGAAACACAAAGTACACACACATACCTAGACGAAGAAAGAAAAGAATTATTATAGTTTTAAGGCTTATAATACACAATAAATGGAATCTATACACTAGGTGTGATTTATTTAAGCAGTAATGCTTTATCCCAGAAAGGTTTTCATTAACTGATAACTTATGATCTAGCAATATGAATTATTAAAGACCTTAGTTGGTGAGATCCATGAGAAATGTGTGGGTAGAATATATGGAAAGAATGATAGCTGAAAGTAATGTAGTTAGCAACAAAATCCAGAGGAAGAGACTCCATCATGATGGTCGGACCATATAAAGTACACGATTGGTTATTCATTCGCGAAAGCAAGGCAGCATTCATTCGACAATATTTAACCAAATGGTTTGATGCCCTAGATGCAGAATGAGACAATGAAGTATGTACGTGGCTCTACTTTATCTGAACCAAGGAATCTTACATAATTCCCTTGGTATAAAGTAATTGTTTATGTAAATTATTTATTAACCCACTTATAACACATTTCACAGTCACCTAATCAAAATGTGATATCAAAGCAAAAATATGTGTCTACAACCGTGATCCAGTTTGTTAGATATAAATTGCACATTTTTCATTTAAAGTGAATCGCTGCTATATTTTGATAATTTATTGGTGTCAAGTCGACTGACTTTCCTCAATATTTTTTATGAGTAATGTAGTTATATTACCAATAAACGTATCCTTTCAACATTGTGTTAAAATCGTTTCCGAAGAATAAATTAGAGAAGTTCTAACTACACACCTGTATCAGATGTCTCTATAACTCTAGTACTACTTGTACCAACCGTACAAAAGCCAGAGATGATTGCTCAAAATTAGAAATTCATAAAAAATTTAACATATCTTCACTTACTTAATTGTCCTGTAAGATCTTTGAGTAACCTGGCTTCTTGGGCTTCAATATCGTCAGCACAGGATGCTAACCGACAATATTCAGCTTTTAAGGCCTTGTTTTCATCTTCCAAAGAAGCTGGAACAAAAATATATGGTTATTAACAAAAAGATAATAGCAGAATAAAATGTGTAAACAGGGAATAAAAAGACTGTCCTAAAAATCTTTGAAAAAGAAAAAGTTTTTTAGAGCGTTGAATACGAAAGTTTGCACAAATTATCTCTAGATATGTATGAGTTTATTGTTCAGGGGGAGTATTATGTCAGTTTATAACACCCAACGATCAAATACGATACAATATGAGAGTCTAAACAACTATTATTTAAGAAATTGAATGCAGACAACTTATTAGGTATGGTCATGTCCAAAGAATGGATGATCGATGACTTTCTAAGCAAATAACAAACCAAGTACCAGTGATAAGATTGAAAGCGGAAGACTAGGAGGAAGAAACTAGGAACCGGAAGGCGTAAGACAGTGTTTTGAAAATGATCTAGCTTTACCGAAAGATATATAATCTCATAAATAAATTAAAATATAGAATCATTTATAATTATATAGGTAAAATTAGAAATACTTTAGTCGACAGAGACGAAAATGTTACTACACCCCTAAAAATCATACGAACAAGCTGAATTTTGCCCGACAATGTCAACTTTAGGACGGTAAAAAACTAAAATCCTCCTCGCAAGAGGGTAAAAACGCATGAAAATCGATTTAAACAGAATCTTTTTGGTGTCCCAAAATTAACATTCTTAAAAAAATCAGCTTGTATGTATGATTTTTAGAGGTTCAGTGGCATTTTCGTCTCTGATGACTGGAGTATGTGTTAAAACAAAAACAGTTTTTTGGTTTTATTCAGCATTTATAGATTTTTTAGTTTCTGTAATTTTTATAATCCGACATCCTAGTAGATCAAAGAAATTTAGAGAAGAAGAATAATTAAATTTTATATTGAAAAGACTATTTTAGTTATTAATATGGTCTTCATTAAAATGATAATTTTTCAATAATATTTGTTGTGGGACAAATTATCAATCCAGCCGCTGATATTCTGATATATTTGTTTTTGTTAGTACATATCCTAGACCTAATTTTATTAATAAATATGTTGATCTTTCATAAATTGTTTTTACATCATTAGATCAATTAGAAATAATTCCATTGAAAACATGGGTCATGACACTCATGACACGAACATATTGAATTATTACAGAAGCAATAAAAAGAACGAGTATTTTCCTACCTCAACTGGTGCAATTTATGATAAAGATCTATTTATCTGAGGAAATTTTAGTTATTACAAAGTATCAAACATGAAACATTCAACCTTGAATAGACTTTATTAAACAGTTTAAATATAATAGTAACTGTGGTAGAAGGTAAATTCAAAGAAAAAAAAACAGTATAGGCAAGGCAAGTAAATGATTAAACACAAAAAATTTAGCAAGGTTCTGAAATTACTTGCTTGAAACTACTGCTATATGTTTATTATGGGGGATTAAGCCACAATGATTGGTTGTCATAAAAATCACATTTTTAACTAACTAGTGTTTGACGTTTCGACTTCCATTCCGGAAATTCTCCACAAAAAAAGGTTATTCGATTAATAATGCAAAAGTTATGTATTATAACCTAATAACAAATAACTTTGGTTATACATTTTCACTTCCTTATTTAAATTCATGGGTTTCGATAGAGTTAGAACGTTTGAAATGTGTTCGAACTGGTAACTTTCTTAAGAGAAGAGTCACTTCTGATTGAGTTGTTTAGGGGACAAGACGTGTATACTTTACGTGATTTATTTGATTTTGATTTAAGTGCCGTAATCTTACTATAACAAGTATTTTTATTCACAAATATATAGTCGTAATACTATCATATATATTTCAAAGGTAAATACAGATTTATTCGTAAGTGATACTACACTCACCGGCAAAATTAACGGAACACCTTAAAATTGGGACATGTTAGATGACTCGAATTTCCTAAACCTGTTGTCCGATTTTATTGATTTTTTTAGTATGTTATAGGTATATTATTTAAGAATATCAATGAAATAATATTGTTGCTAGACAGGTCAACGTCATTTTATACCGGGTGTAACAATCATACTGTGTTTTTTCCTTAAAGTTCGAAACACCCTGTGGAATATTCTAGCATATATAAAATATTGAAATTAAAGCTCAATTATAGTCTCAGGCTTTCTTAACATTTTCTTTTTTGATTCATTTGCTTGTTTTGGATAATAAAAAAGTTAGGTACGTTAACAACTAGCCATGTTTTTCATCAATAAATGCTCATTTTCTTCTTAGTTTCACCAGCATATTTAAAGGAACAACCATAAAATCTGAGTATTTTCTCTCTAGTCTATATACTGTTTAGATAATATCATAATACGAATGTTGGTGAAGTATTTTGAATTTATATTACAATGGTAGTACAATATAAAACCTGTTTAAGAAGAAATAAAACACAAAGATGTCAGACTCAACAAAATACGGATTCTAAATGCATTAACTTTATTGTACAGTTTGAACTTAAATTGTTTTTTTATGCATTTTTTTGGCTTTAATAGCGTGTGTTCCCCCTACGAGCCCTTACAACTGCAGTTATTCGTCTTCTCATACTTCTGATAACGCTATCGATCAGTTGTTGGGCAGCCTCTCCCATTCCTCAATCTTTTGCAATTGTGACTTCTTCTCTGTTTTGAATAGCAGGAACCCGTGCCCTAAGTTTTCTGCCTAGCATATCCCACATATCCTCTATCGGGTTTAGGTCTGGGGAACAAGCTGGCCAATTCATCGTTGTTATACCCACTTGTAATAAGAAATATCTTACACTACGGTCGTAGTAAAATTGAAAGGGGCATTTCGTTCTCCTTGGCGTTAATACAATCTTTCTCTACCGTCGATGTAATTTACACAGAAACGGCTCTCGTCCGTAAAGAGAATTTGACTCCAGTGGTTATCATTCCAATTTTGATGTACTCGAGCAAATTGTAGTCGTTCTAAACGATGGTGTCTTTGGAGTCTGGGAGCTTTTATTGGCACATATGACTTGAGACCGGCTTCTTTAAGTCTCTTTCTTATTGTGCGCTCAATTAAATACAAGTTTGTACTTGTTATGAACAGACAGAATGACTGTAAAATGTAAAAACACAATACAAATAAACAAATTAATTTGACATTTAAGTCTTTCTTGTGACAAGGAGCTTTCAAAGCTATGTAGATATAGTCTATAAAATACAAATATAAAGAAATATTGCATTATTAACAGGTTCCTTTAAATTTGCCGGTGTGTGCATTAAATTGTTAACTTCTTATAGCCTACTTTAGGCTTGTTTTTAAACTAAGCAGAAAATGAGGATTTATTGATGAAAAACTTGGCTAATTGTTAACGTACCTAACTTTTTTATTATCAATCATAAGCAAATGAATCAAAAAAGAAAATGTTAAGAAAGCCTGAGGCTATAATTAAGTTTTAATTTCAATATTTTATATATGCTAGAATATTCACAGGTTCCGAACTTTAAGGAAAAAACACAGTAGGATTGTTACACCCGGTATAAAATGACATTGACCTGTCTAGCAACAATATTATTACATCGATATTCTTAAATAATATACCTATAACATACTAAAAAAATCACTAAAATCGGACAACAGGTTTAGGAAATTCGAGACAATCTAACATGTCCCAATTTTAAGGTGTTCCGTTAATTTTGCCGGTGAGTGTATAATACTTAGACATAGAATAATACAGGGACCTGGACTCACAAAAAATAATGAAAAGATGCTAGGATGTTTGGAAAGAAAAGTACTTGATAGACCCATTGACCAGAGAAAAGAGGAAGACCCACAACAAGGTTCCTTGATAACATCGATGAAGACATGAGAATACGTGCTTAGCGAAGGAAGACAATAGAGAGGGACGATTGGAAAGAAATTCTTGATGAGGCTAGGATCCACGCAGGGTTGTAAAACCAAAATGATGATGGTTTTTAGAACGTAATTTGTTGTTAAAGATCTAAGGTTTCTCAACTTTCTTCTTTTATTTTGGTTTCGGTGTTGACATTTGTCATTCATGACATGACGTCTGTCAAAATTTTAAGTTTTAAAAACAATTAGTTTGTTAGTAAAACGAAAATGCAAATCAAAGCCGACCTGGACGAAGTTTATGGTGAGGTTGCACCTTCGTTAGCAACAGTAAAATTTTGGAAAGCTGAATTTGTTCGTGGTCGTACGAGTGTTTTTGATGATGAGCGTCCCGGGAGGCCAAATGAACTCAACACGTCGGAAATGATCAGCAAAGTCCATGACATGATTATGGCAGATCGTCGAATTAAGCTCTGCGAGTTAATAGAGGTCTTAAACATTTCCTACGAATGCGTACACAACATCATTCACCATCATTTGGACATGAAAAAACTATCCGCGCGATGGGTGTCGCGTTTGCTGACAATCGATCAAATGCAAAAACGTGTGACCACTTCGGAGACACTTTTGGCGATGATACGGCGCGATCCGAAGGATTTTTTTCGTCGAGATATCACGGTTGATGAAACCTGGCTGCACTATCATAGGAAACCTAAGGCAAAGAATGCAGATTCGGACCGGCAAAGTGATGGCGACTGTTTTCTGGGACGCAAAGAGCATCATCCACATCGACTACTTGGAAAAAGGAAAAACAATCAATGGTGAGTACTACGCAGCATTATTGGATCGATTCGATGCCGAATTGCGTCGAAAACAGATCTTGACGCCAGCGATTTTTTCCTGTTTCCAAACCTAAAAAAATGGCTCGGAGGACGCCGTTCCGCAACAAATGATAAAGTCGTCGCTGAAAGTACTATTCGGATGGGATAAAAAAATTGGAACATCGTGTTACTAAGTTTATTGAGCTAAAAGAGGACTATGTTGAGAAATAAATCGATTTAATTCCAAAAAAAACTTTTACATCAATCCACCCTCGTATATGTCGATTTTTCAACCGTGAGTTTAATGTTTGACCATAATATCTCCCTTTGTTTTTTCTTCTTCCAAAGATATTGCATCTTGCAAATGCTTTGGACCACC